ACGCTGGTGGCCAAGACCCTCCAGACGCTGGCCAATTTCACACGCTTCCAGGGCAAGGAAAACTTTATGGAGTTCCTCAACGATTTCCTCGAGCAGGAGGCGTCGCGCATGCAGCAATTCCTCGAGTATATATCGACGCGTCCGGAGCACGCGACACCCGACTCCATTCTCGACTGGGCCGGTTACATTGATCAGGGCAAACAGCTGTCCATATTGCACAGCCTGCTCAGCGAGAGTCTGGCCAAGCTGCCGGAGGCGCGCCAGCACGAACTGGATCCGCTGCAGCACATACTGGACGACATTAGCCGCGCCAAGGAGCTGTCCGGCGGACCTGCGCTCGCCTCCGGCTACCTGCCGACGGTCATGTCCACGCACTCCATTGCCAGCGAGAACCAGGAGAATCGCCAGCCCGATGCCGGCTGCAGCATGGTCGGCGCCACCAGCTCCAGCCACTCGCAGCAGCAGCAGCAGCAACAACAGTTGCAGCAGCAGCAACAGCAGGCGCAGCTGGCACAGCCGCAGCATGCGGTGGTCAGCAAGCCGCTGCCCGCGGAGCGCGGCATTATGCGTGGCGTGCTCACGCCCAGCGCGCTCGAGAAGAACATATTCCGCTACAATGATCCCACGGTGAATGTGCGTCTCCAGCAACAGCAACAATTGGAGCAGCAGCAGCAGCAGCTGCTGTCAAACTCACAGAGCTCGATTGCAAATGCCGGTGGCTACATGAGCTCACCTGTGCTGCAGCACGCCCAGTCGCAGAGCTCGATGGCATCCTCCTCGCTGAACGGCAGCAACAGCAACTTGCTGATGCAGCCGCATCCCGCCCAGCACCAGTCGCATTGCCCGCCGGCACCGCAAACGAGCGCCGCCAGCACCATGGAGCGCTTGGATCGGCTGGGCCATACCTATCAGTATGTGGTCAATCACAATGGCAATGCCGCCGACTATGACAGCTCTACGGGCAGCTCAAGGGCGCGCACCTTGCCGCGCAACAACAACAACAACTGCAACAACAACAACAACAACAACAACAATTGCAACAATAGCAATCAGAGCGGCAGCTACGACGACATGCCCGGCGAATTCATACAAATCTCTGGCCTGGACACCAGCAGCGCCTTCGTGCGCAAATCACCAACGCCGCTGCTCAAAGCGAGCGCCGCCGCATCAGCCGGAGCTGGAGCCGGAGCTGGGTCACGTGGCCAGCGCATTAATCGTCACAATCTGAACCTAAATCTGGGCATACCAGATCACTCAGGCCACAGCAATTATGCGCGTGGGCCGCTCAATCCCAACTCGAACATGCCCAAGAATCTGGAGGATCTCGACGATCTGTTCAAGTACGCCGAGGAGCAGGAGGTCATCATCGAACCGCAACCAACTGGCAGCCATGTCCACGGCCATGCCCATGGACATGGCCATGGTCAGGCTCATGGTCACAACAAGCAACAGCTGTCGGCCAAGAGCAGCCACTGCAGCTCCGGCTACCAGAGCATCTCCACCAATCCCTCGCCCGCACAGTCCTCCAGTCCCGTGGAGAGCCAGCTCCAGCCGCAGCAGCCGCAACAGCAGCAACAGCAGCAGCAGCAGCTGTCGCTTAAGATGAGCGCACCGCTGGCCTTTAAGAATCCCTCGTACCAGCTGCAGAGCTGCACCAACAACAGCGGCGGCATGCCCAATGCGTCCGGGCGTGGCCCGGCTACGCCGCAGCCGGGCGCATTTGGCGGGCGTGTCAAGCCGCTGGGCGCTGGTCTTGTGGCGGCACGCGCCGCCTTTCTGAACAGCGGCGGCACCTTGGATGCGGCCACCCTGACACCGAGCTCCTCGGACGAGCAGCTGTCGGCGGACAACTATTATAGCTATGCCGCGGCAGCGGCTGCCGGCGCCAATGTGGCCAACAAGCTGGAGGCGCAGCGCTCCCTCAGCGGCGGCAGCAGCTCCTCCAACTCCAATTCTGGCAAGCCGCACGCCTACGGTCGGCTCAATGGCGGTGGTCCGCTCAAGCGCGAGGATGTCTACGGCAGCGCCAGCGGCATAGGTGTCGCCTATGCCATGTCCGCGCCTCATCATCACCAGCAGCAGCCACAGCAGCAGCCGCATCATCACCATCATCATCCCCTTCCCCACCAGCAGCAGCAGCAGCACCAACAACAACAACAACATCAGCAGCAGCAGCTGCCGCAGCAGCAGCAGGAACACAAGCAATACGCAAGCAGCGGCGGCGCCAGCAGCGCAGCCACCTCCTCGACGGCGGTGGCCCAGCGACGCCTCAGCCTGGACTCGGCGCGAACGCTTTCCGACAGCAGCACCGACACGGAAGGTGAGTACAGCCAAAAAAAAAAATCTGGTTAAAGGCACGTTTTGCCATGCTCATGGCAAAATTTGTCCATATGGATAATATATTACCCAGCCTATAAGTTCGTCAAATCGATTGTTTTACGCAACAAAATATCTAGATTTTGAGTCAGATGTTCAAAAATACCTTCAAAGTTGGCGGTTTACTTTATATGCCAGTTAGATAAGGCGCATGTCAACGATTGTCATGCAGATGAATTACAGCCAAAACAAAGTGCCTTCTAATTATTTGCCATGCAAGTTAAATGTGCTATTTTCATCAATCAAATTAAGCGCATTGCAATTTTTACAAGGAAGATAAAGTCCTGGTCCATTTATATTGTAGCCAGACAGATTAGTTTAACGCGATTTGTGCCAGGCAGATTAAATGCATGGCAATCTCTTGTAAGGAAATGAGATCAGACAAACCAAGTTTGTGCAAATTTTTTAGTCAGGCTCATAAAGTGCATGTCAAATTTGACAAGGTAGTTAGGGTGCACTCCAATGTTTTGCCAGGCAGATCAAGTGCATGGCAAAGTTTACAAGGTAGATAGAATGTTTATCCAGGCACATAACGTACATTTCAGACTTTGGCGAACATCTGAAACGAAATAGAATTGTAAAGTGTCTGTTAAATTTGCAATGAACATGAAAAAAGAGTCCGTTAACTTCATATTTAAACGCCTTTCAAAGCAATTACCTAAATGTGCTGTCTTCCTTCCTCACGACCAGGTCACTGCGCTCAGCTGCAGGAGGGCAAACGACGTCGCCAGCTGCGCAGCAGCAATAACAGCGGCGGCGCTGGCGGCGGTTCGGAGTCGTCGGGCCTGTGCAAGGGCTACGATCAGAATGGCGAAATCCAGTTGCTGCAGGAGACGCTGGACACGCTGCGCCACACTCTGGACCGTGACGAGGCCGAGCTGCGCGATTCCAGCGATGAGCTGTTCGCGCTGCAGCGACCAGGCTGCGCCGGCGGCGGCAGCGGCGGTGGCAATGGCGTCAACAATCTGAGCCAGCAGTCGGAGTCGACCATGCGCAGCATTATTGACAGGTGAGTGGGGCCCCAACGCCCGTGTGTTGTCCCCTCGCTCGCACCAGCCCCAACTAATATCAGGCAAAACCTTTGCAGGCTCATCACCATGGAGGAGGAGCTGCGCCGCGAGCAGCTTAAAATGTCCCTGGCGCTGTCCCACAAGCAGCGCGTCATCGAGGAGCAGGGCCAGCAGATCGCGGCGCTAGACGCCGCCAACAGTCGGCTGCTGAGCGCCCTGACAGCGCTGCGTCAGCGCTATGAGACGCAGCAGCAGCATCAGCAGCAGCAGCAGCATCAGCAGCAGCAGCAGCAGCAAGCACCAAAGAACCAGAAGCCACAGTGAGCGGTTGGAGCGGAGCCGGCGGAAGCAGGCGCGACAAAAGCGGCAAGCGGTCAGGGTTGAGGTCGCATGTAGATTAGCTACAGCCTGCACCCAGCACATGGACACACACTCACACACACACCCACACACACATAGAAGTTGAAGCTGCCGCCGTTGTCGTCGTGTAATTTTTTTTCGTCAGATTAAGATACATTTTTGTTTAAAGACCTTTTTTTTTTGCGCCAATTTTTTTTTATTGCTATGCTATATAAATTATACTACATGTTTAATATAATACATACATATATATATGTATGCATATACATAAATAATACATACATATTATACATAATTTCTCAAGCTATGTTTAAACAAACTGATGTAAAACGAAAACGCAACTGTTGCTGCAGCAGCGGCAACGGCAGAAGATTGTAAAAGTTAAAATAAAATCAAACAAGAGAAGCAGATAACAGGACGAAGAAGTGTGCAGAACAAGTTAAGTTAATGAATAAAATTATAACCAAAGTTAGACAAATTTCGTTGTACATATTCATTTGTTTATGGGACAAGTCGGGGAAAATACGAAAACGAACCGTGCATTTCTGGAATATCTCGGATCAGGTTATGGAACGATAGAGCTTTCTGAACTGTTAGGGATCATCGATTCCTAAATTTAGCCTTAGTTTGACAAGAATTAGAAGGAACTCCATCACACAGCGAGTCGAGTGATAGGCGATTGATTTGTAACAACAGAAGATGGGCTGGGATCTAGGATCCGTTGCCTAAAAACCTGGTAAGAATATCATTAGCAGCAATACCCACGCTTATCATCTGAAATTTCTTGCGGGTATCTCAGCCTAGTGTCTTTCAAGTGGCGCCATCTACAGTCCCACTGAGAACATGTTAATTATTTGTGTTCGCTCAAAAGTAGGCAATGGAAAGTGTAAGTAACTGTGCGCTACTGGCTCCATCTGCTGTAATCCAACTGCTACTACACATGTGTCATACTAAACGCGCTTGGCTAGCGGCATCTACAGCTCATTTCTGTAGCTAAGCGGCCGCTTAACGACCAACAGATGACGGCACGTGCACCGTTTTAATGATTGGCCCAGAATGGGATTAGCCGATTGTGTGTGCGGAGTGCAGAGCATTACGCAACAATAAAAACTGTCACCAAACAAGCAACAGACAAATCTGTGATGTGACCTAAGCCAACAGGCCATAAAAACGAGCCGCCGCCGCCGCCGCTTCAATGAGCTGAAATTCCAAGGGTTTTCCAGAGCTGTGCGCCATTCATAAAAATCTGGTTCGTCGGCCGCATTGCGCACATGTGTTGTCAATTACCTAAACGCCCGTTAGGGTGCACAGGTAGCATCCGTCGCCAGGTAGACGGTGGGATTTTCCGATCAATTGTTCAATGAACGCAACATAAAACCGGCCGAATGCTGCCCAAAGACATTTAGAAGCCAAGCCAACGTCAGCCAGTCAAGTCCAGCATGTTCACGTCCAGAAGCTCAGCAAACGCCGCACCGCGCACCATTTGCATCACCTGCATCATTCTGCTGCTCGCGCTGGGCGCCGCCGCCGGCCACGTGCTCCGGGAGCGACTGACGCTGCCCCAACAGGTGCGCATCTGGCAGTGTCGCCAGCGCTGCTATCAGCAGACGCTGGTGCAGCCGGTGTCGCCGGCACTGTGCCACGCCCGGCCGGATTGCTATATGTGCCACGACTATTGCCGCGTTCTGGTCGTCGCCGAATGGAGCCTGGCCAGATCCATGTGTGCGGATCGCATCTTCTGCAGCCGCGGCTGTCGCACCGCCTGCCAGTACCATCAGCTGCACACGGCCAATGCGGCGCCATTTGCCAATGCCCTCAGCAAGGCGTGAGGCAAGCGCACGGGTGGGCCAACGCGGGGGCGGGTTCGGGGGTGATTGTGGGAGGGGCAGAGTAGCTTGTATATAAATTAAAATAGCAACTAAGCTCTAGATAATATGATCAATAAACTAAATGTAAAAGCCAAAAAAAACAAAAAGAACACTTTTCAATATGTTGCCGCATGTTGCACAAACAGAACCAGAAATTGGCCAGGCTGTTGCCACAGCAGCTGTTGCCGCCGCCGCCGCCGCCGCCGCCGCCGCCTCGCTTTATTAATCAGCAGCATTGACCCTGCCGCAAAAGTTATTGCAACACAAATAAAAAGTGGTATACAAAATAAAGACATTAAATTAAAAAAAAAACAACAAAAATGCTGCTCGCGCATAGAAAAGCACGCAACAGGTGGCCGGCTGCGGCAGCGACTGCGGCAGCGGCAGCGGCAGCGACGTCGCCAGCTCCTGATCAGTTTGTGGCGCAGACTTTGGGCCGGATATTGGCTTTGCGTATTTATTTATTTTGTTCGCTTCTCTTACTTTTCGGGCCAACATATGGCGCTCTTGGCCAAGCTCTTGAGACGCGCCCCCCCCCTAACCCCGTACCCCTTACCCCTTTCCCCTTCCGCCGCTCGATGCCAGCGCAGCGATAAGGCCAACGATGCCCGGCTAACGGTTCGCACACATCGCCAGCTCGCTCCGTTATAGACATTTGAATCTCCACGCATATTGTTTGCCTTAACACCTAATTACATAATTGGCGCTCCCCCCGCGGCGTGCTCGCCCCCCCCCCCCCCCCCCCCCCCCCTGCCGTCGGCCTGTCACATAAAGCAGCGGCGAGCGCATAAAAGCCGAGCAATGATCGTAAAAAAATCGATTTGAAGTCCATAAAAATCATATCAATACAAATTTTTATATGCCATCCACATTTTAAAAGATGTCTCGTTTTGGTTAACCAAACGATGGTAGAAGGGGAGGAAGAGGGTGGGGGGGGGGAGCGGGGACAGTCAACAAAAGCGACATAAAACAAGCTAAGAAAAAATATAAATGAAATTTATATACAAATAACTATATACACTATGCAGCAAAGTTGCGAACCGTTTATGAGATGAAACGGTTCAAATTTACTTGAAGCCAAGTTATTAACCTTAATTTGAACCATTTTGATGGTTCAAACTTAGCCGCAAAGCACACTTCAATTTGGCTACAACTGTTGCCCGTATCTAAACATCTCATAGAGAGAAGAAAGTCAGGGTCAAGAATCGAAGCTCGAGGCATATATAGCTTAAAGCTTATTCGAAATATATCTGTTCTATAGATCTGTAGAAGTCAAGTGCGATAGAAGCATAACCCTAAGAATCCAACTTATATATCTATAAAAGCACACAATATATTATCTAATGAATATCGCACTGATGAATATGAATCTAATGACAATATAGTTCAATATTAATACTATTATAGTTACTATCATTATTAATCATTTTCGAATTTTTAATGTTATTAACCGATAAATATTTAATGAAATAGATAAGACAGATACTAAATCTAATTACGGATGCTTTAAGACTTCAAGACAATCTAGGATAGATGGGAAAACTTGGATTGGGTTACCTTGAAGCGCTCCTCGCAGCTGAGATTGCTTAAATATCTATATATCTATATGGTAATATATATTTTCGAAAGTGATTTGTGGTCTATCGACTAAGAAAGTGCTGTGACCGAGTCGAGGTTAGAGCATGAGGCCAAAGAAAAGCATTCGAAATGAAAAGCTAAGCTGCATTTTTGAAAGCAAATTAAAAGCAACGACAAATGGCCGCTAAAGAAATGACAAATAAATTTCCCATTGGGCAACAGGTGCTTGACAGAGGCTCTACGTACATTTCCCAGCATGTCCGGACTGTCCCCCCCTCTCTCCCCTCACTCTCTCTTTGTCTCGCTCTGGCTCTTTGTCTGTGCGAAGAATTGAATAGTTTCCCGATGATGCAATAAATTCACAGATAAAATTTTTATTTACGATTAGCTGGCAAAGTTATGCAGCAGGGTTGGTGGTGGTAAGGACCAGGGGGGGGGGTGGGTGGGTGGTTGTGGTGATGTTGGTCAGTTGGCGGGCATTGTTCAGGTGTCATATGGACATGGAGACAGACTGTCTAGGCGCGTTCTGGGCCGGGCTTACAGTTGGCATCAGTTTTATTGAAATAGTTTGCGTTGCGGGCGTGCGGATCACGACTCGCTCACGAGTCGCGGCTGCGATATATATTAATTAATTATAAAGCCGGGCTGCGACCAGAGAGAGCGAGGAAGAGGGAAGAGAGAAAGGAGAGGGGGACAGCTGGACAGCCGGCTGCTCATAACGTGCACGAAGGTGAGAAATCAATTTTCAGTATCTCGCTTTGTGCTTAATACTTTTTCCAGTGAAATGCGCCGCTGTGCGACGTGGAGCTGCACAGCGCCCGGGGCCATCCAGGCAGGCAGAAACCCAGCCAGGCCAGAAGCCCAGGCGAAGGCTGAGCTGAGCCACAGTCCAAGCTCCGTTGTCGTCAGGCCTCAGAGTCAGAGACAGCCACAACTGGAGACGGACTGTGTACTGTGGCTGGGCCTGGGCTTGGGCAGCCCCGGCACGTAAATTAGGATAACAACGTGAAACATAATTATTACTTTGGACAGATATGGCAACCTCGACTGCGCCTGCGCCTGCGCCGGGTCCTGCGCCAGTCGCTTGACTAGCTGACCGAATCTGAATACCCTCTAAAAAGCATGTACTATATACTAAATGCTTGAAATGCAAATTATCTAAAATATTCGACTAACTTAAGCTCAAATTTCTAAGTTGGATTTCATTTGAAACAAAGTCTGTTGATGGCAGATCTATCTATCTATCTTTATATCTATCTATCTATTCCTTATAATAATGTATAAAATCTTATAATCAAATCTGGCCTTAGTCCCTGACAAGGCCTTTAAAAGTTGAATAAATATATAAATTGTATTAAATTTGACAATTTTAATTATTATATTTTTTTAATTTAATTTTAATTTTTAAGTTTCTTTTAAGTTGATGTTAAACATTTTTTCATTTGAAATAACTTTTCGCTTGTTAAAATTTATTTAAATTGAATTTTGATTTTTATTTAATTTTAAGTTAAATAATTGTCAAATTTATTACTAATTTCTGGCCTTTAAAAGTAAACCGAATAAAATATTCGCATATCTATTTTAATGAAATTTTAATAAAGTTAATTGCATTTTGACATATGTAAATAATATGCTAATATTTGTTTGAATCGCAGTTGTTAATTCAGTTGACTTTTTATTTTTACTTTATTAATTAGGGCACAATATGCCATATTGCATCCACGAAATTTGATTAAATTTATTTTGTTTAAGAAAAATACAAAATTGCATTAAAATAGAACGTGCGTCGGCCGGGAATCGAACCCGGATCAACTGCTTGGAAGGCAACTATGCTGACCATTACACCACCGACGCCACCTGGCGGCAAGTAGATTAACACGACATATATTTACAGCAGGCACTTGGCAGAGCTTGCGCTATGCAAAAAACAATTCTATGTATGCATATAAGGAAATAAATGAAACAAATAATAATTTTTAAATAAATATAAATAATTTTTGTTGAATTTAAAGCTAATTTAAAGAATATTGGCTAAAACAATATTTTATTCTTATTAGACCAATAATGCCAATACGAATCAGGCATACAGGGTATGTTTAAGTCGTGCTCTCCTCTTTTGCCGCATTTTTCGTTGTTTATTTTGCTTTTTTGTGGCCCAAATAAATGTATTAAAGTTGGTTAACGCCTTCATTTTTGCTTCGAACTGGCTGCGAGCCGCTGTTCGGGCCGGGTTCAAGCCTCCAAGTAGGTGTAATAAAAAATATGAATTGTTGTTGTTTGAAGCCTCAACAACAACAAGATGAGGCTGAGGCACTCGAGCAGCAGCCAAAAATTATTCAGCGCATTTTACGAGCTGAGGCTGAAGTCGAATCGGATTTGGGTTTGGGATTCAGTTTCGGAATCCGTGTGAACAGCAAATTGGCAGCCGAAATGTGTGAATATGAGTGTGAATAACTGGCGAATGGGCAATCGAAATGCGTCGCAATGAGTGTTAAAGAACCGGCAATTGAATAAGATGAGTGCATGCCGTTAAACGGAATGAATATGAATGAATGAGTGTATGCAAACATAATTACATGGTACCGAATGAGTGTTAATGGGTGTGCATTCATGAGTGTATTCATGATTGCAAATTCAATTGAGTGAATGTGCACTTACATGTTTATGGTTGCATGCATTCATGAGTATATTCATGAGTAGTTGATAGACGCTTTAAAAACTAATGAGCATATTAACTTATGAGTATATTCATGAGTGTATGTGACGATTCAAAAGTGTTTTTAAATTACATTATTAAATTACATTCATGAATACATTCATTTAATACATGCACAATTATATTCATATTTGAACCGACTGCTGCTTATATTCATATTTGTATTCACAAATGCATTCATGGCTTGCACTCACATCAGTTTTTCATTTATTTTCGAATGCATGAGTATATTCATGGGTGTATACTTCATTAAATTATGCCACTGTTTCATTTGAGTGCATTCATGATTGTATTCATGAGTGTATTCATGAGTGTTGAATTATAACATTATTTTTGAATAAGCTTTAAATTGATTCAATTGCATTAAAAATAAATAACCCAAGGTGTCAATTGGCATTTGATCCTTGGTCTCATCAGGTAATTAACGGACGCCGCGCCGTTGCATAGGAGGTGGGAGAGGGGGTAGGTAGGGTAATGCCCACCCGCTGTTGCAGCCTGGACGAAGGAAATGCCACAAAATTGAAAATGCAAAACGAAATTGGCAACTGGCAACTGGCAACTGGCAACTGGCAGCAAACGGAGTGGAGAGCGGAAATGTTGGCCGTGCGTAATGAAGACGTTAAGCTGAAGCTGGAACTGAGACTGGGGAACTCTCATGCTAAGGACTGCGACTGCGAATGGGACTGGGACTTCGACTGGGACTGGTACTTCGACTGGGACTGGGACTGAGGCTGGCAGGCATGCGTCGCTGCTGTTGCCGCAGTTGCCGACTGCGTAACTCTTTTGCGGCGGCTCGTTTTGGTTCCGCTTGCATGTTAACTGAAAATTCGTATGAAGGCGAGAAATTAATGAATCATTCACACCTGCATGACGGATTGTCGGCATTACTCTCCCGACATTGCTCTGGCTCCATTTTGAACGAACCAACCGAACCAACTGGAGGGGGCGCGACGCTCCTGACGCTTCTGCCACAAGGAGTTGCCTTCTAATTTATTTGCCTGATGTGTGTATTACATTTGTGGCCCCGACCCCGGCTGTATCCAGTCGCAGTCCCACTCGCACTCGCACTCGCACTCGCAGTCGCAGTTGCAGTCGCAAACGGTGACCGTTCTTGTCCCGATTCCGGACGCGTTGCATTTCGTAAATTGCCTCTCGGCTATGCAGGTCGAGGCACTCAAGACGGTGGTTGACGGTGCCTGCCTGATGATGCGTTCAGCAGAAAGTATCTTTCAGATACAGTTGTTGGCTCGCACAATGGCCGAAATTCGTTTGAGCCGCAGCGAAAATCCAATTCATTGTTGCACGCCACGCACGTGGTGCAATGTTGCCTGCTGGCCCTTAACACCTGAGTACCCGAGCACCTTAACCTCAATCTCATTAATTATTAATGACAGACACTTCTTGTTCTTGCTCGCGCCAGAGCTGGTGCTCACTCTCAACGATCGATACTATCGATCAACAGCTAATCAGTTGTTGTTCAGCAAACAAATCTCGGTTAAAACAAGCTAAATTTGCCTTACAAATATCGATAGCTATCGATAACAAACTCGATAACATATCTCAGTTAAAAGCAACATCGATATATGCAACAAATATTTATGTTTAGCAACAAGATCTTCATGAACTGCTTACAAATCGAAGCTATCGATATATCGATAACACACGTTAGCTTAGCTTTTGCCAAGAAATCTTCAGCTTTTTATCGCGCCCTCTAATGTCAACAGCTGCAAACTTTCTCTTGCAGCAAACATAGTTGCATTTATCGATAAGTCGCTTCGATTGCACTTAGCGGTAATTGATATCGATAGTTGTTCGAACACTTATCGAATCGCTTGCTCGATAGTTTAGCCAAGCTTTGCCCATGGTCGAACCGTGATCCAGCTTGGGGCTCAGGTCCATTGCGTGCTGCGTGTGAACTTGATGGATGCACTGCCTCCGCTCCGCCTTCTGCTGCGCCTTCTGTTGCGCCTGCCGCTCGCCGAGCTGCCACCACACACTCCCAGCCACAACGCTCACCACACGCAGCCGCCGGGCACTTTGCTGGAAATTAAAATGCATACTCAAATTCGCATTCGCGTTCGCATTTGTTTGCGCCTTTGCGCATTCACTAAAAATCCAACTATAGCTGCCACATTTCGTTCCCGTTGCCGCTGCAAGCTTTGCGGTCCCCCTTTTGCTTGCAACAACTCGGTGTCAAAAGTCAGAGACATGCAATTTGGCATTTTTCACCGGAATATAATATAAATAAGTAGTTGGTTCTTATGTCAATATAACTGAATACCAAACTATCCTCATCGCGATTTTTTCGAGTTTTTAGAAAGTACACACTCTCTCTTTCCTCCTTCATCTCTCTCTATCTCTATCTCCCTCTCGCTCTTAACTCTATACTGCCAGAAGTTTCTCAAATTAATCCCTCTTTATTATGCCCATCTTCCAATTTGTGAAGGCATTTAATTATGTTTAACTTCTTTTTCTTTGAATATATCCTTACCCACACACATATTTTTAAGAAATTAATTATCTCTTTTTAAATTCGATCACAGAGTGTAAAGAGTATATGACGAGTTAATACATACATACATACATACATACATACATGCATACATACACACATACATACATACACACATACATACATACATACATACATACATACATACATACATACATACATACATACATACATACATACATACATACATACATACATACATTACATACATACATACATACATACATACATACATACATACATACATACATACATACATACATACATACATACATACATACATACATACATACCTACATACATACCTACATACATACCTACATACATACCTACATACATACCTACATACATACCTACATACATACCTACATACATACCTACATACATACCTACATACATACCTGCATTCATACCTACGCCTCCTGCTTCCTGCTCCGGCTTCCAACGTTGCAGCCGCCTGCGCCTAATTCATACGTGAAGCCTGCAAGCCTTACTAACATTTTTGAGAATCGAGGAGGAGGGCAGCTTTAATAAATATATTTTCTTATTTAAATTTGCCGCGCAATAAGACAAATTGTTCTGATATTGGTATAGAAGACAATTTACATGCATACATATATTTATATATACGCACATACATACATACATACACACACACACACATTCACACACATATGCACACACATACGTAATTACATACACACATTTCAATTCAATCAATTTGGCATCTGAATCTGGCATCATTATTCCTAGTTTATAATAT